TCGAACCTTTTTTCAAAACTTTTTTCACCAGAAATTCCAAAACCTCGCATTGTATTGTACTGGAGTTAATTTATCCAGCACCATCTTCAATTACACAAGAAGAAAAACAGCTAAATCTTCCAAGATTCACCACCAGATATCATACACATACAGCTGGCCTAGGGAAAAAATCATTTCTATTACTATGAAGACTATTATATCGCATCTAGCTAAATGCGATAATTACAAAGTCTTCTTGAATCACAAAGTTACACAGATTATCTCACATAACTTTTGGTTCACAGTAACGTTTTTGAAAGTATGACAAAAAGCTGTGCGTTTGGCCAAAAGGAAAGAATTTGGTCAAGTACCAATTAGTAGGCAAATCTCAAATCCAAAAATGATATTTAGTTTCTGCTTCCAAACTGCATTAATTTGCATTTTTTCTCAATGCTTTGGAAGTCTTGCCATTACACAATTGGTGAACATTAAAAATTGACTTCGGTTATGTATAAATTAAAAGTATTTTAATAAAATTACCAACCTAATTCAAATTTGAAGGTTAAATTTGGTAAATCATTTTATTTTCTGCTTTACGCTATAAATTAACTGTTTGCTCTTTGTTTATTTAATCCATTGTAGAGTCATTAGGATATTTCGAAGCAGGAGAGATGAAAAATGAGCAATGCCCTCGCCGGAACCTCTCGAATAGGCGTCGAGCGTGCTGACCACTACACCACAAAGGCATGCTGAGAAGGCGGGAGAAATACCTTATATACTCCCTTTCAAAGGGCGACTAGGAATTAGGGGACCCAATCGCCAAATCCTGGTGGTGGAGAATCACCATCTATCACCTTTATTAGTTCGGGCGCCACTGTAGAGTAATTAGAGATTTTTGAAAGCAGGAGTGAGGGAAAATGAGCAATGCCCTCGCCGGGACTCGAACCACGGACCTCTCTAATACTCGTCGAGCGTGCTGACCACGAAGGCATGCTAAGAATGCGGAAGAAATACCTTATACCATATTCATAAATTTAGAAATTAACCCTTTATTTAAGAACATACTTTGGTTTTGAGTCAAAATTGTATGAGGTATAGTAATTTAAGTACAAGAAGATGTGACTTGCAGATAAACAAAATTGTTTATTTGTGGTTATGAAACGATAAGAAAACAAAATTTTGATTTAATAAAATGCGGAATGGAATTGTTGTTAGTGTACCTAATGTTATCTTTGTGACGTGTAATTATTTTATGTAAAGTACTACTCAACCTTTCTTGTATATGTACTATTCCTTTTTTTATTTTATTTAAAAAATAAGTTTTCGATGCCTACCAAAACAATTTTTAAACTTCGCTTAAGTTTATACAAGCTTTTTTATACTTTTTTCACATAACTTTAAGAATTAACATTTCTTAATTTCAGTTTACTATAGTTTCACTATTCCTTTCTTAGGAGACAATCAAAAATGGAAATTAATAATTAAATTTGCATACACATACACGCGCACACAGTAAAAAATATAATTTAAACTAGCAATAGCCACTTAATGCTTAATTTTGTATCCCCCCTTCTCTATTCCAAAAAATAGTAATCTCTTTCTGTAGTGCGTCATTTCAAAACTAACTCTTGTCATATGACTCTTAACATAACACTGGGGATGTAGATGGAACTAAAACTCAAACAGCTCATAATAACTTTACAGCAGTACTAATTACCCAGTCAAATGCTTTGAGAACCGAAAGTAACTCATTTGGAATTAAGATTTCATCCTGAACTCATTTGCACTTGTTTTCTACACTTCGGCCTAGATAGACTGTGGCCTGCTGCTGTCTTCTTATTGCAAAGCTATAAAAAATGTAAACATTTTGAAATAGACATAAGTAGTGTGCCAAGTTGTTTGTGGCTACAACATGTGCTCTAAAATAAAGATGAATATTTAACCTTCCTTGGTTGCTAGATTACTCTTCAATATGGATCAACAATCTACGTTTCTACGTCATCAATATTTCCACGTATCTGTGAACTCAATTCTTTTACATCATTCAATCTAAGTCTGTTTTATTACATATATATATTTAAAAAAACTTGTATATATATATTTAAAAAAACTTGTATATATATATTTAAAAAAACTTTGCTTAAAATGTAAAAATACAGTAAAATAAAGAATAAAAAATGTTTCTCACCTAGTTGTTTGACTATTGTATTATGAAATTCAAGTATATTTTTATATACTGAATATTACTTTCTCGTGTTTTTGCATACTGTCATATAATATATTAAACATTATTTTCATATTTTTGCATTCTGCCATGTAAGTTGCAAGAGAATGGAAACAATTTTCTTCCAAATCCCGTATGAAAAGGCTTTGAAGGGAAACGAAAACTAATTAATTATTCAGCCTCATTCTGGTTAAAAACCCCACCAGTGGCCGAGTGTTGAAGACCCCTGAGAATTGGTAGTTACACCTGCTTTGGCCGCTCAATCAGTATAGTGGTTAGCGTCTCTGACTGCCGTGCCGAAGAGCTCGGGTTCGAATCCCGAAGAAGGCATGGGTGTTTGTATACGTATAATGTCGGTGCGGTATCGCGGCACTCTAAATATGCGGCGAGCCGAAAGTCCTCTCGTGTGGTTTGGAAGGTGAGAGGGGTGGGAGGACCCTCGACCCCGTCTTCCTCCATCAAAATTGGGGGCAGAACTGAACTGAATTGTACTGTCACTGCTCAAGGCTGTTGCTAACTATAGGCGTAGTTGGCGCTCCTTGCCACGAGGAATTTCATGGGCTTGTCAGACAAGTGAGCATAAGTAACAGCAACAACACCTGCTTTGGGTTCGAACTCAGGCGAACTAGCCGGCTGGATGTTTGGTTTTTACCATGTGCAACTAGCCAGTTTCCTGCAGAAACTCTGGGCCCACCAGCAGCCGATCGGTAAGGTCACTAAATGCTGGCAATTCGACCCAGGTTCAATTCTAGCTGAACGAGTTGTCTGCAGGAGCGCTTTCGTGGTTTCTTTTTGTGTAATATGGACATGACCCAATTTACCTCAGAAGGTGCCTCCAAGCAGGCATCCCTCTTCTTATGAACACACCCGTCGTGTCTTTGTTATTCAAACAACTTAAACCTAGCCAAGTTAAATATTGAAATATTCATGTTCTTATTTCATTTGTTGAATTTTTTCCGTTCCTCTACAAATCGGATTGTTATCCTGCACAAATGATCTTTACCATGAACTGTTCTTAAATCAGATTTCCCAGCACTTAATAATTTTTTCATTTGAGATTAATTTTGATCCTTTTAATAACTCAAAGAAATTGTATTGTTACATGCTTTAATAGCGATACGAATAGTCTGTGATTTTCGTTGTTGGAGGTAAACAAATAACTTTAGTCAGAGTACTTTCGATGTCAGTTATTAAGAAAAGATGACTATTGCCTTATTACAGTATGCTAACTTTTTGTATGGATTTAATACCGCAAAAACTCGTTAATAAAATATTTCAGAACTTCGTTAAGAGAAACTGGATAATTATTAGCAAAATGAGATAATTTAGATTCAGACCGCCAGACGGTTTGTTTTCACCAAGCATTTATACATTATTGTAAATCCTCAACGTACATGAAATTGACTACATTTAATTATTCCGGAAGAATATCATAAGGCAACTAATTAATTATTTAAAAATATTATGCAAATTAAAGTTGTTGAAAGTCAAGTTAAACTATAAAAAATACACAAACATGCAAATGAAAGAGAAAAATCGGTACTTATGCATTTTCCCATCGACCGTGAAACTACTGCCAAACAGAGCAATTTAGCGTCAGTTATGGGCAAGCATGGCATTAACAACACACTCCTAACATCTGAGCCTTTGTTTAATGTCTCGATAAGCCACATTTTGTTTTAATGAACATAGATGCAAATTAACTTCTACTGCCGTATTTTTCCTTCCATTTAGGAAAAATTATTAAAATTCGGGGCCATCCTTCCACAGAACAGAAAGCAATGGATTTCTTTCAAAGTTACGAGAAAGCCTTTTTTACACGCTTCTTTTTACCTTTAAAAAAACGTGTTTAACGGGCATGATATGGTCAGCTGAATATGACCGACAACACAGTAATTGATTGGAACAATTACCTGCGAGAAGTTTACCGAGCTTCTGGTCAAAAACAAAACTGTAGAAATCGACAAAGAATTTTTACTGAGCTGCAGAACGAAGCTTATCAAATATTGATTTGTCTATTAAAAAAAAAAGCCTTTAGAATTCCGCAAGAATAGGTGACACAACTTTGGTAGAATCTCTGCCTAATTTCATGGTTCGATGGTAGCCAACTTTCATGGTCAATGAGATAATACGTAAGTACCTAAAAATCGAATAATTTAAATATGTAATTCATAGTCTATTTCTGCTTCATCCAGTACCATTTATTGAGTACAAAGTTAAATATTTTGCTTATTTATAGTTAACTTTTTCGGTAAAAAGGAAATATAATGTCCATAGCCTGAAATTTTATAATCTGAATTTCAAAGGGAAAATTTTAGATGCCTTCTTAGCACACCTAAATTTAATAATGCGCTTGAAACTTATTGAAATTACGCACTTTATCTGTAAAACAATAATTTTGCTAATTATCACTTTGTCTTTAAATAAGAAATAAATACGTAATTCAGCAAGTATGTCATAAAATTAAAAATCCAAATTAGTATGGGTTGTTATTAGCAAACATCAAACACAAGATTTTTAGTGTTAAGAAACTTAAGATATATTTTGCTGTTAAGAATTTGAATCAGTGGTATATAGCACCATTTATTGTTTGAGTTTGAACAAAATTGTTTGAATTATTTAAATTTAAATTTTTTAACACACTGACATGATACTTTTCTTTTTTTTTTAATATTAATTTAAAATTAAAATTTTTATCGCTTTTTAGGGAGCAAAATTTTCGCACATTTCATAGCTCGTCAACATTGTGAAAATGATAGTCTGAAGTTTAGCAATGCAATATAAAGAGAGACATGTATCAAAAGTCAATAAAACTGAGAATTTATTCTTTAATACTCCTTTTACTTTGTACAAAACATTTCGATGATCTCTTAAGCAGCCTTACATCTCCTATGCTGTTTGGAATAAATTCTCACCTTCGGTTTGTAAATACAACGGAGAGTGACTTAATTTTAAAAGAAGTCGTATTTTGGTACAGATGTGTGTAAGCTCGTAGTCACAGAAGTGTATTTTAATACTTTTTTCGTCTCCGCTTTCGAAGTTAAAAGTATATTAAAACAAAAACGTTTCCTTATTAGTCTCTGGGAACTTGTTGCGCTGTTTCGAACGTCAGGAAATGTAATAAAATAGAAAATAATTTAAGGAACTACGGTTCTTTTTAGATATTTTTGTTTTGTAGTGTTTCTTTTCTCTTCTTCAAAGGTTTCTAAGGCATAACATGACAGAAGACGCTCTAATTTTGTGATGATTGCCACAAGGTTTGCTTCCTTTTTTCTAGCAGTCCATGATTTTACATTCCTTTCAGCAAACATTTTATGAAAGTTTTATTCACAGCTGTTGGCACAGATATAAATAAATTGGCACAGTGTTAACAGTACACTTACAGTTGTTGTGAATTCATGTGCAGGTAGCTTCTTCTCAGAAATAGATCACAAGAATTGCCGGCAATATTTAATATACAATGAAGTTGTAAAAAAAATCTTATTTTCTGTATTATTAAAAAAATAGCACAATTTTTAGCAATAAAACTAGAGTGCTTGTAAATTAACCTAATGGATGTACACACAAAAAATACTCTTGTTAATTGATTAAACTTCATAAACTTATAATTATTTTGAAGCAGTCCAGTTACATTTAGCGTGGCACAATTACTCAATGAATATCAAAATTACTAATGGGAGGATATGTGGAATTTTTCCACTGGAATACACTGGAAATTTTCTTCTGTGTCTGAGCATGCGAAAAATTCGTCGATGTTTATTTTACTAATTTACCAGTAATTGATTTTTTACTATTTATGAAACTCCTTATTTTGAGTGCAGTTACGACTATAAAATATTTAATATCTATTTGTAAATGACACTGTTACCTTTAATTGTGTAAATAACAATTTTTACACTAAGAGCAAACGTTTCAAACGTACTTAAATAAAGCAAATAGTTTGTAAATCTGGAGCATAACTGAATGTAGAAGATTCAGGTTTTTCAGAAATCTTAAAGTTATCGGCTGCTGGGATGGGATGTCATTCTTATAATGCACCATGTGTAGATCTTATATGGATCTTGAAATTCAGCTGAATAAATCATGTTTCCTTATTGATTTAAAATCAGATTTTCTACATACTCTCACGTAACGATTATTTCCGCATTAGACATAAAACGTACTACACTTCTTTTAAGAATGATCACGAGGATGAAAAATTATCAGATGGTCATGCCAAGAGTTCTCAGTGGTTTTACCTGGATTTTTAAAATAGTTATGGAAATAAAATTTAAGTTGTGCTTTTAATTTTAATAATTTAAGTCGTTAAAAACTATAATTGCAGCTAATATTGAAAGATAATAAAAGCAAATCTGAGAGTAAAAAAAAATCTCATATAAATGTACTGAGTTAGTTCTCTTATTTCTGAGAAACTGAAACAGGTAGACGGCGCTGTTCTGCATCGAAAGTTAAGAATCGTGGTTGCTGTGGCAAAAGTTTCTACGATACTTGACTCCGCCCTTAAGAAATTCCGATATGCGGCTGCTTTGCGCAGATGCTATTGGAGAATCTTTATTGCAGATAATGTTGTTATGAATTAAATAAACTATTCCAGTTGAACATATGCTTTTAATTCGCCATTCCTGATATTTATTTATAAATTTAATTAATTACTTAAATTACATTAAATGCACTTTTTTATAAGAACTTATAAATTCATCATTTTAAAAGTCATGATGAATTTTATTTATCACGGATATGATCTTGTTATATGCGTGCTTGTTGTAATTGCCTTCGACAGTAAATGAGACATCTACAGTGTCCCAATAAATGTCTGTTCTCTATGATACTAACAGAAAGAAACATAAAAGAATAACTGATAACACTTTTGCATTTTTATCTCGATTCAGCTGTAATGAGTTTAGTAAAAGACTTAACAATCGATTAGTTAGTTTAAAAACAGCGAATTAATTAAGTTTACTTCTGAAATTATTCCTTAATATTTACATTTTGTTTTTAACTAATTGATAAAGTATAAGTACAAGGAGGAAAAAGTATTAAGGAACAGACTGCTTCAAAATTGCACTCTGTTTTAAATCTGAACACATTTAAAATTAATATTAATGAAAATGATATATTTCAAATTTAGAGAAATAAATAATAATAAAGTCATTAATTCTACATAACAGATTTTGCGATTTCTTGGTGATCGTGAAGGCTTAACTGCATTCACAAGTTCTGTCTCTTTTCCCCGAGACACATTTCCGCTAGCCATGTCTAGCCGGCATCGAGTTCTATCTGCCTGCACATACTTATTGATGTGTGAGTGCGAATTTCAGGCATATCGCTGCTTGGGGTTACGAGTGTCCCAGGTGGGTGAGATACGGGTGCACCGCTGTGTGCCCGAAGTGCTGTGCGGGAGTTATCACCGGGTACGGCAAGGCGCTTGTCGCCGGGAGGTAAGGCAGTTGGTTGCCGAAGAGCAAGCCTGCTGCGTAAGATGGAGAAGCAGCGTAAGAGTTCGGCAAACTTGATGCCTGAGACGGAGGTAACGTAGGACTATTGGCATCAAGTCCGGGATTTTGCTTCTTCCATTTAGTTCTCCTGTTTTGAAACCAAATCTTGACTTGAGTCTCTGTGAGCCTTAAGGATAATGCTAAGTTCAGGCGTTCACATACAGAAAGGTATCGCGTTGTTTTGAATTTATTTTCAAGGGCAACAAGTTGTTCATAAGTAAACGCTGTCCTGGCTCGCCTCGGTTTACCGGCTTTGCTATCCGCAGCAGAGGATTTTTTCTTCTTGTAAGAGGAGCTGCCAAGTCCTTTACTAGACTCCTTGTCAGTCGATTCTTCGTCCGTTGCTGACGACCTGAGGCCATTCGATGATCTTGGTAAATGTCCGCGACTGGCAGATGAGCCCTCTCTATTATTGCTGTTGTCCGTTTCAGCCACCTCGATGACGTCAGGGAGTGGAGACATCGAGTCCTCTGGAGTAAATGGAAAACAAACATCAAGAGGTGTATTCTCAATAATAATAATATTATATGTATAATACTACTAAAAATATTATTCTAAAGAAACAATTTGTTAGAGCATGAAGCGAGATTTCAGGCAGATTTTTCTTAAAACGAAAAATTATTCATTACTTATGTCATGACGTGATGACCACGCACGCGCAGTTTAGCCGAATGGCCTGAAACGCCTCTCTCTCATGTGACTTACTAGAGAAGAGTAGTTAGTAGTTGGTAACGAAGTAACGGTAGTAACATGCTGTGTGCCAGCGTGGATGAAAAATACGCAGTTATACTTGTGTGTTAATCGTTTGTTCTTATTATTTTGTTTGTATGTTAATAAAGTTTTCCTGCCGTTAAAATGGCTGGTTTATGCAATGCCCACATTATGATACGTCTACGGTAGAAATTAAATATATATCCAGGACCTACACGCCCAAGAAGAAGGATATGACAACTTAACATTTCATAAAACAAACATTATTCAGTGTTGCAGAGAAGATAACGCCAAATGTAAGTATTTAAAAATTGCGTCAGTTTGAGAATTTATCTTACGTAAAACTGGATGATTCACATTGAAATTATGTGAGTCGTGATTCAACATTAATATTAATTTATGTTTTTATTAAAACAATTCATATATGATTAAATATTAATACTAATTCCCAGTTTTATTAAATTATAATCTCAAAATCGATAAACTAAATAAATCTATTAATTCTATCCCTAAGATGAACCCCTAGAAGAAATCTAACTATAGCTCTTTGTTTATTTAAACTTTGTTCATAGAACTGAAGAAAGAAAATGCTCGAAAAGCTACAACTGCAACAACACGAAACTTTTCAATATTTTTTTTTCTTATTTTGCTCGAAAACAATATGAACTTTCAACAGTTTCTTCATTTAAAATAATACCATTATGTTTTATACTTTTAAAAACAGATTTCAGTATAAGCTGTGTTTAAATCAAACTTTATATATTTATTATTTACATAGTACACTAAAGCCTCTTTTATATAACTTTCAAAGGACAATCCAGAAAATACATACATTTAGGTTTAGATACGCTGTAGAAAGTTATGGCTAAAAATATACTACTATTATCGTGCTGATTTAATTTTTTATCTTATTTTTATATTAACTAAATTTTAGAAAAAAAAATTAAAATATTTAATTTTTTTTAAATCGTAAGGAATCAAATTTTAAAGCATTATTTTATGATTTGGTTTTCAATATTTAAAAAGCAATACTTTATGATTTGATTTTCTTATCGCCTCATCGATTTTCATGAGCTATTTTATAAAAATATCCGCCACCATCCAAGCATTTTTTTCTCTTCATGCTATAATGACATGATTTAACTTTTTTGAAACACTCTCACCGGTTCTATCAGCATTAGCAGAGAGTAAACCGTAATGTCATCTTTACTTTTCATTACTCCATTACAGCAAACGCCTTTCAATGCTAATATTTTCGCACTCGAAAAAGAAATAACATAAAAAGACATAAAGAAAATAATGCTTTCATGCTGGTGCTCTTTATATTTTTTTGCTTATGACATCATATAAAGACCTGTGGGATAATTTACATTATGCAACCATGTAGTTGAAAAACAATCGGCTTTCACGTTTAGTTGCGTTTAGCCTTTTCCTTTTTCCTTTGGTACAGGCCTTTTCGCTCGATTACTTGATGCATAGTAATGCGTAATAAACTACAGCAAAGTATGATTTAATCCTTCTCCAATTTTTCGCCTTGATAACGCAACATTTTTTATGCAGATCTTTGCGGACTGTTACTGCCATTTTCTTTTCTTTCTTTCTTTCTTTTTTTTTTTTTTTTTTTTTTTTTTTTTTTTTTTTTTTTTTTTTTTTTTTTTTTTTTTTTTTCTTTTTCAGGAAAAAAAAATTATTACTCAGATAAGAATAACTAACATTATCAAAAATTTTATTGTTATCAGTTCTGTACTGCTGTTGAATTTTCTTATAGATTCAGTTTTATTTTTTATTGAAATTTCCTTTCTTTTCTGGACATTTTAGCAGCAAGCGAGGTTTGAAGAACAGCGAAAATCATATTTTGCTATTAATCTGAATAGTTATGAATGGAGACAGAGATGAAACGATGTAAAAATGTAAAATGCTTCAGTTCATTTGTCTTAAGTACATGAAAAAAAGCCGTTTTGAGTCTAGCCAGTGCCAGTGCTAGGCTATTTGCCCTCCGATGCATTCCTGCGATTCCTAGATTCACTCCCCTAGTGACTTCTTAAATTTTACAAATTTTGCCGCACCTAAATTCTGCCGCCAGGTGTGGCGGCGTTTGTTGCACATGCTCTTGCGCCGGTCCTGGGCCTAGCTAAACGAAGTTTTGGTGGTTTGGCTGATATATTTCCCACAGTATGATGAATACCTAACTGCATTTTTTTTTTCAGGGTAACTACCCTGCAGATAATTTTCAGTGATTTTCTAACGAGGATGAGACATGAGAAATTTACAGATATTTAGAATGCATAGCAAGATTAAACAAAGCACTTACAATAGCTGCTAAGTAATGTAATAAAATATGAGCAGCCTTATGTAGTAGGTTTGCATAAGCAAAATATAAACTTGTATTTTCGAAAAATATAAGAAATGTTTCAATTCATGTAATAAATCTAGCTAGTCGACATGTCATCATGCTCTCATGAACGGGTATATTTGTGGAAGAAGCACAAACATATCTAAAAATTTCTAAAGTAATTTGAGGTTCTGAATATATTTTTATGTGTTGGTGCTGTTGGTGCTGTTGGTGCTGTCCTCAAACTTTTATGACATATAGTAAATGGTTATAAGTTTTCAAGAAAGATTAAAAATATTTGATTTCTTCTCGAAGAGAGTATCATACAGTAAACACTCTTAATAAAACTAAGCTAAGATATCTGAAATTATTTAAATACTTGAAAAAGGAAAGTTTTGGGTGAAGCGATTAAAATCATGCATGAAATTCGATTTATTTTAACTGTCATTAATAAGAACACCTTCGTAAATTCTCAAGTTCTTAAATGACAGTATATTTTTCTCTTATTACTTATAGTTTTTCTTATTTTATAAACTAAGTAAGTGCGCAAATGTGCTAAATTTTAGGAAAAATACAAATTTTTTTAGCTAGTTCAAGTAACCTTAAATCATTTAAATGACAAATCAATAAATGTAGTAAAAGTATGGTCTGTTAGGCATTTTCTACTGGAAATAATCCGTTTTTGAATGGAGAATTCCATTGATGACCCAAGTAACTTAAATTGGCCAAAAGTTAGAAAAAATATATGTGATAGTATGATTTTATGTAAGCATCTGGTATGATTTTCGGAGCAGACTGCTTGGAGTTGTAGCTGAAATTATAAGATGCGTTAAACTTCCACTTCTAACAGAATTAAATGTCTAGATGGTGTGAATTTGTCGCATAAGTACGTAAAATTTAATAAAACTTAACGTTCTGCACAGAAAAAAAGACGTTTCAATGAAACACATTAAACTTCTACTTCTAACAAAATTAAATTCCTAGATGGTGGGCATTTATCGCATAAGTATGTGAAATTTAATAAAACCTACCTTTCTGCACAGAAAAAAAAAACGTGTTTCAATGAAATATTTCAAAGAGGTGAAAACGTTATTCTATTTTAAATTTTTTGATATTAATCCAATATTTTTTTCATTTACATAAAGCAATATATACCAAAAAATATTAGTATGAAGAATTTAATGGATGAATTTTGGAAGAATAAAGGCAAAATAAGTTATCACAGTCTTCGATAGTGCCCCTTATTACTATTTTCTGAATGCTTAATAAAGAACAACATACAGCATCTGTTTATTTATGACTGATGGACTGTTATTTCTCTAATTGTATATTTTCTGTCCTAAGTCCTATTTATGTAATCTCGATTGCTTTATAAAATTCTGACAAGGTTAAAAATCACCAAGTGACTTTGGCATCATCCTTGTTAGAAAAACAAGATGTTATCAGATGAGTGACATATCAGGAAGTAATCGTGCGTCAAGTAATTAATGAAATATGTACATTCTGTAATTGGCTAAACGATATCGCTTATTGAACCCAATTATCTGATTGTTAAATTGATTTCTTGATCCACAGCGTAACATTTATAAAGTTATATCTTCTTAAATCATCTTTACATTTTACTTGCAAATTAGCTTTGCGATTGTGTACCTTTCTTTGTGACACTTTTTTATAGTCAAAATACAAAGCATTTTTTTCAGTGATAGTGTTGATGACATATAAAGAATTTTTTAGAATATATTTCACTCTTTATGTTAATAATGATTACAGCAATAGTGGAAAATAAGTTTGCGAAAAATATTTTAACGTAAATGTGTTAATTTCTTAATGTTAAGATTTATGACGGCTATGATGAAAGCTACAATTGCAGTTTAAAAACATTAAAGGGTATTATTAATATTCTATTAAATTATATTTTCGGTATGCGAATGTATATTTAAAAGTTGGATAAATTTAATCAGATAATAATAATAATTGGATAATTTTAAGTTATTCTAATATTTATGAGTTTCTCTCGTTTTCTCTTAGGTGTGTTCCACTTGTCGTAAAATGTTCACTTTAAAGAAGAACTTACATCAACGCCTAAATACTCTTTCAAGATAAAGTGCTTTTCGTTATGCAGAATGTGACATTTTCTTTAATCGGCGAATTGAATTAAGCAGGTATATGAGAATTTATAATGAAGCTATACCTTTTTGATGCGTTATCTGTTCAAAGTGAAACACATATGTTGATAATTTAAGAGTTCATGAAGCAGTTCATCATCCAAATTTTACTTGCCGGATATGTTTATAATTTTTTTAGAGAACAAGGAATATATAGACATCTGAAATCCCATTTAAGAACCTTAAGATGTAGTTTATGTTTTAAAAAATATAAGAAAGCTTATCTTAGAAGTTGTTTTAACAGCTCAGAAGAATTTTTTCA